CAGAAATCCAGACTCATCAGACCAGGCAACGTTTCGCTTCAGCGGGTCATCTTGACCATGTCTACCTGCCTAAATGCATTGAGTTGCTACCATGTGATTGACTGGTTAGCTATTTGCATTAATAAGCAGTTGAACAAGTGTACCTGATAAAGTGGCCTCTAAGTGTATACCATATACAGCAAAAGATACACAACCCAATTTTAATGCAGAAACTCATATTTCAACATAAAACAGTAACGATTGTTTCTCCACACATAAAGTGAAAAGGGGTGAGTGTGATGGAGCGATGAGGACATTTTGTCAATTGTGTTTTCAGTAAAACTCCTCTGACTCACAGTGTCTGATTTACGAGCAAGTGATGCTTCATGTCTGTAAAAACACAGTGTAACAAAATTCATGTAAACACAGTGTAGTTGTTAGGTTTGTGTGTGCTCACGGTTTCATGGTAACTAACACTGATGACTAATATATAACACAGTGAATACACGTTTGTAATTTTACACATTCATCAGATGAAACACATGCTGTTTATTTTCTCTAAAACAACTTCACTGTCTACAGTGAATAAAACATAATAAATCAATGTCAACGTCTGCTCAAAACTGAAAAACGGGTTCATTACCACAGATGAATGTTGTTTGTAAGCAAACAAAACTGATTTCAGTTTAATGACCTGAAGTATAAACACGGTCTTTATGGTCTTTTTTTAGGAACAGAGAATAATTGTCGCTCTGAAACGACTTCTGCTACAGATTAGTTTCTGAAACACTTAATTATCCTGCAGTATGTTAAGATGAAAAAGTTTTTTTATTTATTTATTTATTTATTTATTTTATGGTGTTTCTCATTTACAGATCCATAAACTCCACAGTTGACTAATGAGCAGCAGTGCGGTGCTGGAACAGCAGGACTTAAAGGGAACCAACACAGAACTGACAGTGTCACTGGGACGCCAGGCAGGAAACTTCTCCTGCAGAGTAACTGGCACGGTTCCACCAAACTTGAAAACCGTGGTGTTTTTGTTGCTTGAGCTTAGACTCTGAAACTAGTGACCATTTCCAAAAGCTGAAACAACAACAGCCCATCATTACAGTTACTCCTACAGCTGATCTTTATCCTGATGAACTCCTCAGCCTTCCCTAAGCTGTTAACGTTAATGTTCCTGTGACCATCCTCAGTAATCTCCATGTTATTACACAATCATTTCACTGGAGGTCACTGTCACACAACTGCTGTACAGATAGAGATGCATTTGATGGAAAAGGTCTTCTCTGTTGCATGAACAAAAGGAAAACAAAAATCTAAAATGTCACAAAGTGTATTATTCACATAAGATAACGTTGTTTGGAGGTACTGTATTATTCAAAATATTTCATAAAAATGACGTATATTTGCATCTGCAATGTCATAAAATGGGGTTTTTTCGAAGGAACTCACTGACAGCTGCATGTTGTAAACTAAAGTTTAAAAAAGGGGAAATCATGTAGTGATGACCATAAATGATCATAATGTTATCTAACATTAAAGCCCTCTGGTGCCACTGGGGCTCAGTGCCTCTTAGTATAAATAGAATACACAGATGTTTTGCAAAGGGGCTAATTATTGTTATGTATATAAACCAAAGTGTATTCTTCTTGCCCTGACTGCTTGATTTAATGTCCTAAACAGACTCTAGAGTTCAACACTCATGCCACCATGATTACACCTGCATAACCTGGCACAGTGGTATAACTCAAAGAACAAAGATACGTTTGAAAAACCCCAGAACAAACTGTAACAACACCAGTCCAAGAAAAAAATGGCCACGCATCATACATTTTGTAGAACACTACAAAAATAAAAACATAAAAACAAGGTTTGAAATACGCATCTCTGCCTCCGTACTGCCTCAGCCCATAATGTAACAGGTGTGACCCCCCTAACAATATTTTTAAAGGTGGTATAATTTAAATCATTTTCAAATTAAAGTTACCTTTTTAACTTCCTGTTTATTACATTTTTAATCAATTTTTAATGACAATGCATTTAAATGTTAATGAATTCAATGAAAATGAATTCAATGAAAATATGAAAAGTATTTCAATTAAATTTCATTAAAAAATGTCTCTCAGACAGTTACACAAACTAATTAGGTTCAGTCCAAGGACACATATTAGCACAAATATTCAACAGTTGAAACTTAATATGGCCCTCAAGATTGTGCAAGGTCTATGTGCAAATTATTTTACCAGCTATTTTCAGTATGTTCAGGACTCCAATGAGTATGAGTGTATCTAATGTGAAACAAAGCAGTCTAAAAAGTGAAGAAGGGAGAAGCATATTCCTTCACATGAGGGGGAGGAGCCGAATAAAATCCCAGAGGAAATTAAATCTGCCCATTCTCTGAATAGTTTAAAAAAAACAAAACAAAACAAAAAAAAAAAAAACAGCAGAAAATGGACAGTTCTAGGTTTCTGGTCTGGTTTCTGAATTTAAGTGTTTTTTAATTGTACTTTATGACTTTATTTCTTTTTCTCAAGTGTATTGTTGTAAAAATTGGATATTAGAAACATATGTCATTCCCTATTTCTGGCTGCCTCCCCGGCTAGACTTCAGGACTGTATTGGAAATAAGTCATGTGACTTTATTCATGTATTAATCCTGGTGAATTTTAGCACTGTATGCACATTCATGTACTGTATTTTGATTTATCAGATACATTTAGTCAGTCAGACATGCTGTGAACATGTGAAAGGTGATCTTCTAAAATTTGAAAAGAGCAGCGTGCAGACAAACACTGCTGTGTCAGTTGTCTTGTCCATTTTCAGCAGTCTGCAATAAATTCATAAAACAAAGATAATTTCTATTTCCATTCTGAGTGAGAGGGAAATCACCTCAGTTTGGTAAAACACTCAGTTGAACGACGAGATGAGGGCCTCTGCTGAGAGGAGAGGATACTGCAGTGAGGCATGACAGCTGGGATACCTGCGTCCTGCCTTGTCTTTGCACCTGGAACACAAAGTCTGATACCAGGACAGGTTTTTGTGTCCAATCTGATTTGGTTACCGTGGAGATAGCAAAGTTTGGGCTCAGAGTATCATCCAGACTACAATAAGGTAAGCAAGGCCATAAAAAGATAAGATATGCAATAACTGCCATGGCAAGACGAAGTTTGATATGTGAGTCCAGCGACTGGCATGCCACATAAACAGTAAGTGTTCACTTCCTTCTCTGTAAAGCTAACGAGATGTTTTGATTATCATCCGTAAATTTAAACTTTTAAAGAACATTAATTATCTTTATTTTTTTGTCTTTACATGGCAGTCCATGTTTTGTATTGTATGATCTTTAAGTCATAAAAATGAGTGTAAAATAGAGACTCAAACGCACAGTAACACAATGATTACAATAGTAAATATGAATACAACAGATATTTATTGTTTTAGTCCGTTCAAAAGAACAGCACTGTGCAGTTTTATGTAATAACATGATATGTACAGTGTATTTTTAGATTAGGACCAGCTTAAAGATATTGTATTTAGATAGACGGATAAATAGATTGATAGTTTAGTCCCACAGTGCAAATTTGTGGTTAACAGTGCAGGTATTGCAATGTAATTGGTGATTAAACTCAACAGTAAGAGCAGTGCAGGAGTAATGAAAACTTTGCTATAGATGATATGAACACAATTAAACAGGAATATATGTGCAGATACCAGTGCAGATGCTTTTTTTAAGTAGAAGTATTGAACAAGTAATGCTGGAAAATACAAAATATAAAAAGCACAGAAGGTTAAATATGAAATGCTAGCCAAGGGTGAATATCTAAATAAATACAAATGCAAACAGGGTGTACATATCAATAGAAATTTCATAAGCTTAACATAACCAGTAACCAGTATTTATGTGTCTCCTTAGAGAAGAGCAGAGTAGAATCATAGAAGCGAATGTGACCAATATAAAGCTTAATAACAAAGAAAAGAAAAGAAAAGAAAAGAAAAGAAAATAATCGTGAAAGACAAAATACTCAAAACACTTCTGGGTTTAACATTTAAAAATACCATTATAAAGATGGATTTTCTCCGGCTGCATGCTAATTAGCAGTTTTGTATTCTCTGGGTTTAAAGTATGCTGACAATATTTTTTGAATGTTCACTTATATATTTAAAAAAAAAAACAGCCAAAAAACAATAATTTTGCTAATGTAATTCTGCAGAGAGAAAATATGTCATTGATAGAATTAAGCATGTAGGAGAGGTCAACAGATGTCTCCTTGTGGTAATTACAACAGAATTTTAAAATGGAAAAAGGAATAATTACGATTTTTATGACTATAATATATAAACAGAGTGTGTCTCGTGCGTGATTAGAATAATTCTCTGCAAATAATATCAATTAAACATGATCTCACATGAATATAAACAGTGATCACTGTAAATTTGTACCATTATTTAAAGTTGCACCTAAGTCAGATGGGAAGCTTTATGCGCCCTTTGTGTTTGAAAATTATAAATGTTTTAAATTAAAATGTATAATATGCTCATGTTTTCAAATAATAACTTCTAAAATATGTATATGTTAATGATTTATTTTAAACAAATGCACTTTTAATTATATGTTTAACTGAATTTTCCTTATTTTTTGAAGAAGTGTATTACACAGGCATGTGTTGCCATGAAATATATTCGAATACTGTATGTCTCTGAGTATAAAATGGGGCCAGACTGCATCATGGATTGGTTATAAAATTAAATGAGTCTTTGCTCTGTTTTCAAGTTAAAAGATATTCTTAATGACTTGATTTGTCTGTCTAAGAATAACGTCAATTTTATATATCAGTTCCAGTTTTTCATTTTTATTTATTTATTTGAAGCACTGACCTGGCACTGGAACATTGTAAATTATTAAATCATAAAGTCATTGTGTGTTATTTGTTAAAGGATGTGTGGCATGAAAACATTGTCCCTGCCCTTTCATTCTTCCTCTTCTCATGAGATGATCTTTTTCAGTCCCTTGTTATGATGCACCAAACACAAGAGAGGCCGCCGTGGCAGCTCCTGGTCAAACGTGTGACTGTCGCCAGCCTGCTCATCAGTATAATTCTGCTCTACGCTCTTTCAACATTCCACATCAACATCAGTCCACCAGAGTAAGACTTTTACACACAATGTCTGAAAATACAACAGACCTGTATATTGACAGTTATCAGGAAGAAAAACAACTGTCAAAAAAGGCATTAGCATAACTAGGGGCCAATTACCAGATGCAGAATAGATGGAAAGGTAAAAACAAGACATAACTTTTAAACTTCTTTGCTAATCGTCTCATATTGGCTTCAACCTTTTTGACCTTTTGTGGTCAAAAAGGTGTGTGTGAGTGTGAATAGTTACTGAGTAGCAGGTGGCACCGTGTATGGTAGCCTCGGCCACCAGTGTGTGAATGTGTGTGAATGGGTGAATGTGACTCAGTAGTGTAAAAGTGCTTTGAGAGGTCAGAAGACTAGAAAGGCGCTATACAAGTGCAGTCCATTTATCATTTAGAAAGAATTGGTGCAGCTTCATATCAGCTTTCCACAACAAACAGGTAGACTTTCATAAAACACCCACAAAAGATCATAAAATGATTTCACCTTATGCACCATACTGGTAATAGTATCATGAACAGTCAACTGTGTTATAAATTATAGACTTTGGAATCAAAGTCCAATACATCCAACTAATTACTGTAGACACAAACACAGTGGTTGCCCTGGAGTAGTCTGAAGATGAACCTCACTGCTTCCATGTGTTCCTCTTTTTTTATCATATTCTCTTCTTTTCTTATTTGTTTCTTTTCACTGCTTATAGAGTGATTGCTAATTATACAGATGCAAATAAAGAGGGGAGTATGTGAATGTATGGTATATTCACTTACTGGCTTAAGATGTGCTGTGTATGACACCTATACGTTGGACAAAATTACCTGTAATGAATAACAGTAACATAATCTTGGCATGTTGAGATTTCACATTCAATCTTGTATTCATCATCTTTGAGCTACTCTCAATTTTAATTGAGAGTTAATTGCATTCGAAGGGCAGCTTGCATTTATTACTGTGGTGAGAGTTGGTGTGGTGTAGAACAGGACGTACAGATCAGTCTTCAGATTTCGTTCATTTTATTGACACTGTGTTTGTCTTTTATAGCTTTAGGCCTTCACAACACATTGTAAACTTGGCATTTACTTTATACTTTTAGTGCAAAACTGTAACCATGCTATTATAAATTATGGTGACACTTAATAATTACCTCATGCTTACTTTTCTAGACTCCCAGTGCCTCACTCTTGTGCTCCCCAACCAGACAAGCACAGCACCCAGCCAACCACAAAGAGCTCACAGCAAGACAATGACATCTGTGTTCCGAAAGTAGATATCATGTTTATGAAGACCCATAAAACTGCCAGCAGCACCTTCCTCAACATCCTGTTCCGCTTTGGAGAGAAGCACAAACTCAAATTTGCCTTCCCTAGCAGCCGTAATGACTTCTTCTATCCCTCGTCTTTTCAGCGCACATATGTTCAAGGCTACAAGTCTGGAATGTGTTTTAACATCATGTGTAACCACATGCGATTCAATGCACCCGAAGTGGCCAAAGTGCTGCCCAGAGACACTTTCTACATCACAATCCTGCGAGATCCAGCAGAGCTCTTTGAGTCATCCTTTCATTACTTTGGTCATGTTGTTCCTCTGACTTGGACAATACCAGGTGAGGATACGATGGCTGAGTTCCTGCGTGATCCAAACCACTACTTCAGCAAAAGTGGATTAAACTCCTTTTACCTGAAGAACCTGCTGTTTTTTGACTTTGGGCAGGACAACACTCTGGATCCAGATGACCCCCGTGTAGAGGAGAGCATCAAGGCCATCTCTGAGCGTTTTCACCTAGTTATGCTAATGGAGCATTTTGAGGAGTCACTCATCCTGCTTAAGGATGCTCTCTGCTGGGAGATGGATGACCTCCTCTTCTTCAAGCTCAACTCTCGTAAGGAATCCATTGTATCTAAACTGACTCCGGAGCTTAGGGCGAAGGCTCTGCAGTGGAATGCCATTGACTGGGAGCTTTACAAACATTTTAACCACACCTTCTGGGAGAAGGTGGAGGCTTATGGAAGAAAGCATATGGCAGAGGATGTCGCAGAGCTCAGGAGGAGGAACATGGAATTGGTGGAGATCTGCATTGAGGGAGGTCATGCTGTTGATGCTGGAAGCATTCATGATGCAGCCATGCAGCCGTGGCAGCCCATTGGAGAGAGGTCAATTGAAGGATACAATTTGAAAAAAAATGTAGACAAAGCTCATCAGGAGTTGTGCCGAAAAATGTTAACTCCGGAAATTCAATATCTGACAGACTTGGGGGTTAACTTGTGGGTCACAAAGCTGTGGGGACATGTCAGGAAGATCATTAACTTATGATGAGATAACTGAGACAAAAGAGCTGAAGGAATTTGAGAGTGATTTTCTAGAATATTTACCTACCTTTGTTCCATATTACCACACCGATTTTTATGACCTGACTTTTTATTGTATAATGTATTTATTGGAGTCTGACTCAGATGTACAAGAGCACAGAAGTGTCTCTGATGGAGTATCTGAAACCAGCCAATTCAGTTCAGAGCTGCAGTTTCAAACCTATTACAATCCAACCAGTGGCACCTAGAAACAGCAGCAGTTAAGAGAGATGGATTATAATGGATCGTAAAGTAACAGTTCACACCAAAATCAGTAATACATATTATTCCTCTTACTTGTAGTGCTGTTTATCAGTTGAGATTGTTTTGGTGTGCTGAGTTGTGGAAATATCGGCCTTATAGATGTCTGCCTCCTCTTGAATATAATTGAACTAGATGGCACTTGGCTTGTGGCAAGACAAGGCAGCTTTATTTGTATAGCACACTTCATACACAAGGGCAATTCAAAGTGCTCTACAGAGCAATAGAATATAAAAAATATTAAAGGATACAGACAAGAGGAAAGAGAAAAAAGATATAAAAGTTAAGATAATTACTAAATGATATACAATTTTTAAAAAATCACCAAAAATAGCAAAAGTGCAGACAAGGGGTGCAAAGATAAAAAGAATATTTTAAACTGAGTTCAAAAATAAGTTTACAGTCATTACAGGGTGGAGTAGGCACTGTAAAAAAGGAATGCTTTTAGCTTTGACTCAAGAGTGCTCAGAGTCGTGGCTTGTCTAACATCATCTGGGAGGTTATTCCAGGTTTGTGCTGCATGATAACAAAATGCTGCTTCACCATGTTTTGTTCTGACTGTTGTGATCGTCAATAAGCTGGCCTCAGATATCCTCAGGGTCCTTGAAGGAACATATGTCACAAGCATGTCACAGATATATTTGGGCACTGAGCCACAGAGTGATTTATACACAAGCAGCAAGGATTTAAAATCAGTTCTAAAAGTGACAGGTAGCCAGTGTAAGGATTTTAGAACTGGAGATATGTGGTCCTAGTTTTTGTCAGGACCCTAGCAGCAGCAATCCTGAATAAGCTGAAGTTGCCGAACAGCTTGTTATGAAAGTCCTACAAACAGACCATTGCAGTGATCTAATCTACTGGAAATAAAGGCGTGGGTGAGCCTTTCAAGGTCTTGCTTTGACATTATTCCCCTGACTCTATGTTTTTTAGATGGTAGTAGGCAGATGAGGTTACGGATATAATATGGCTGTGGAAATTTAAATCAGAGTCCAGGATAACACTAAGGTCCATTGTGTGACTCTTAGTTATAAGACAGAGGAATTTGAGGTGAGAGCTGACACTGTCTTTTTTTTTATGGTCCAAAGACAAGTACGTCGGTCTTATCTCTGTTGAGCTGGAGAAAATTTTGATGCATCCAATCACTGATTTGCTTAATATGGTGACACAGACACTCTACAGGTCCATAATCACCTGGTGAAAGTGATACTGTATATGTGCATGTCATCTGCATAATTATGGTGGGCTACTTTAGCGTTTTGTATGATTTGGCCTAATGGAAGTATACAGAGATTAAACAAGAGGGGTCCCACAATGGACCCTTGTAGGACCCCACATGTCACGGCCATCTGGTCTGACTTAGTTACCAATCGAGATAAAATACTTCCTGTCATGAAGGTATGACTTGAACCATTTAAGGACAGTTCCAGAGAGTCCGACCCAGTTTTCTAGTCTTTGTAACAAAACTTCATAGGCGTAGGATTGGGTAGGGACGGTAGGGACACGTCCCTACCAATATTCAGCCCCTTCTATTGTCCCTACCAATATAAACACTGGCTGTTGGCATCCGCTCAATATGGTACACAAAGGGTTAACAATCGTTCGTGTCTACCATATGTCCCACCTCTAACCTCATATTGCTCATCGATTGGCTCTACCGTTATTTTGGTAACGTGTGATTGGTCCTCCCCAGCACCGCTCTCTTCACTGACTTTGTGGGTGCGCTTCACCGTACAGTTCACGGCAGTTCATGACGGAACGACACATACACGTGCGTCACCGTTAGCGCTCCAAATCGGAGCAGGGTCTGCCCATTGGTCTGATAGTCCATTGGTCTGACATCCCATTGTTCCGACCATATTAAACCCATTGTTCCAAATTCCCGTCCCTCGGATCACTATTACCAACCCAACTGCAGACTGAAGGCTGGTACTGAAGTTACGCCCCTTCGGAGTATACTGTTATCTGTTATCAGTGTATATTCATGTAACTGGTAACATTAGAGAACACATTAACCAAGACATTCTTGTGTTTAGTGTAGATATCTAAATATGCATTATAAAGCAGTGATCAGTTTCACATGACGTGTAATTGCATTAAAAAACATCAACGTACAGGTCGCCGCCATGGAGCACTTTTATGTCCCTACCAATGTGAAAATCAAACCTACACCCTTGCAAAACTGTGTGGTCCATTGTGTCAAAAGCAGTACTTTAATCCAACAGCAATAAAACAGAGACTTTGCCTGAGTCATTGTTCACACGAATGTCATTTATTACCTTTACAAGTGCAGTCTCAGTGCAGTGATGGGGCCGAAAACCTGACTGAAAATTATCAAAGCAATTGTTTAGCTTTAAAATGTTGCTAAGTTGCTGGTAGACAACTTTTTCAATAACTTTACTAAAAAACAGTAAGTTTAAATTAGGCTGATAGTTGTTCGGTACAGTGGCATTAAGACTGCTCTTCTTTAGGAGAGGCTCAAAGTGCTGTTGAAAAACTCAACAGCAATGTCTCTTTTCAGAAATCATTATCTAGTTAATCAAGATAATCCACAGACCTTGTTGTGAGCAGTTTCATGTAGGAACTATTTTATTTCTCCCAAACTACACCTGCCAACCGAATCACCCCGCAGAAGGAAGCATGCATCTACTCATGAACGATAGCAACCTAGACTGATGAATAGCACTACATGTATGAGACAAAAACATGCATTTTTGATTTGGGGGTGAATTGCCCATTTAAATTCATCTTTATTTCTGCATCCAAATGTGTGTGTTTGTGTATATGAGATGTTACATGGTACAAGTAAATCTACATGTTGACATATTGGTAAGGCATAATCCTCTTTTTTCATGCTTTTTCATGTTTTCTTTGCTTTACATTTCATTCTTTGCCTCTTAAACAACTCAGCGTCAGACTAGGTGTCTGCACTTAATGTATCCAGGATCTTTATGTCTAGATAAAATTGTTTATGTTTGCCCATGAGCATGGAATGATGTTCGAAACTGAATTAAACCAGACATGCAACCTGCTCTTTGAGACTTTGTTTTGAATACCAATTAAAAATATGTATCTGCTTTAATATAGCTCTGACAAGCACTGCTTTTCAAGGGATGTTTACAAGGCAGCAAATGACAACTTGTCAAAAAATAAAGAGACTGTGCTGCTGGCGTATCAGTCGCAAACACTGCAAAACTTGGCAAAGCGACAAGGGGACAAGTTCCTTCTTTTGTAAATTGATTCACACAAGTTTTAGACTTTGACTGACAGGAGGACAGGAAATCTTGACAATAGAAAATCCTATACTAACATTTTCACAGATCCCACTTGTCATAAGCACATAAAAGCAAAAAATATAACAGAGAAAACAAACTTCCCTAAAAGTGTGCCATAACACAATAACTGAAGGATGATAAGTTGATAAGCTGGCAACATCTTTCTGTAGTAAAACAATAGCACAATTTATGCCATGCTGAGGCATGAAGTCCAGTAGAAGTATGGTTTGACTGGGTCATGCTGATGTAGTGTAGTGAACGCAACCTAGTATTTTCACCTTTTATTATGAATGCAATATGATTTATAAACCCCCTTCTCAACAAAGAACTCCCTTCTGTCCTCCTTGCCCTTTACACACAGTCTTAGAAGCACAGGCCTGCCAACTGAATTTTTATTACCCTGAAAAGCAGTTATACAGTCCCACCATAAACTAATTTGGCATGATTTACAGTGGTACCAAGCTACAAATATATTCCAAAGACTATATCAGGCTGTAAGTTTGATCATTAATGCAATCTGGCAGTAAAGAGAACTCTGTTGTCAGGATGTTTGTTTCACTGCAGCACTCCTACGCCATAATAGGGGCAAAAATGAAACTCCTGTGTTGTGTTTAAGGCAAAAATAATGTACCAACTAAGGCACGCACTGCACGGTACAACATATGTTTATGAACCTGATTATTTTATCTGGACAACCCTGAAAATAAAAACATAAAAACAGTGAGTGATCTCAACAATTATCATCCTACCTCCAATCTAATTTTGCTTGGCAAATGTCAGGGAGGGTGACACGGTGGTGTAGTGGTTAGCACTGTTGCCTCACAACAAGAGGATTCCTGGTTTGTTGGAGGTAGGATGATAATTGTTGAGCCCTCTTGTGTGGAGTTTGCACGTTCTCCCCGTTCCAGTGTTGGTTTTCTCCACATACTCCAGCTTCCTCCCGCAGTCCAAAGACATGCAGGTTAATTGGTGACTCTAAATTGGCTGTAGGTGTGGATGTGAGTGTGAATGGTTGTCTGTCTCTATGTGTCAGCCCTGTGATAGTCTGGTGACCTGTCCAGGGTGCACCCTGCCTCTCGCCCAATGTCAGCTGGGATAGGCTCCAGCCCCCCCGCGACCTTCAAGAGGATATGCGGTTATGGAATGAAATGTCAGGGCCGGCTATAGACTTCTGGGGCTTTGGTATGGGGGCCCTGTTATTGTAACGTGTTGCCACATGGCTCTGAACTGACTAGTGTATTGTAATATTAGTTTAAGCACACGTCATGTGCATATAAGGAGTAAAGTGAGACTTAGTAGAAGCAACACTATCTTTAAATAGACTCCAGTAAATACAGTATTGTGTTACCCCTAACCATATGAATGAATGATTTTTTTAACACAGATGTTTATATTGTTTATTGAACTTAAATCATGGGCTGCAGTGCCGTCA